AAATTAAGATATTTTTGATGAAATCAGAGAGCTATCTGACCCTCCCATAGACAGTAACGCAACTGAAATGTTCACAGGTCCAGAAACGTAGTAAATACATCGGTAAAATAGTCCATGTGACATCAGTGGTTCAACTTCAGTTTTGCGAAGCTACGAGAATACTTTTTTTCCCGAAGATGAACAAAGGTCTTACAGGTTTGGAACGACATGAGGGTGAGTAATTAATGACAGAATTTTCATTTTGGGGTGAACTAACCATTTAATCTCATAATGTTAGATTTTTAAATTTGTTAACGTGGCATTAAAACGCCGTCATAGAAGAATAAGTATCTGCAAAATTATTTTTTTTTAAATATGAAATAACTTATCATTCACTACGATGTAAACAGAAAAACAACCATAAAAAGACAACTGTATGTACCTCGTTTTATCTTGTCATATTCATTCTTCTTGCCCTTCTTCTTGTTCTTCTTATGTTTCTTGGTTTTGTTTTTCTTGGTTTTGCTTTTCTTTGTTTTTCTTCTTTGATGAGTCTCTTCTGAACTTGAACTTGAAGAGTCAGAAGAGTCATCACATGAATCTTCTGTGGCTGATGACTCTACATCAGTTGATGTGTTCCCATCACTAGATAGGTCAACAGCACCAGTTTCTTCACGTACCACTGATGTACTAGGAATCAGGTCATCTGAATGAAGAAATATAACAAAATATTGCATGAAAATCATTACAAATGCAATATAAAAAATGTTTTCCTTTTACGGTCATTGCATGATACATAAAATAAAATTAAGGTGTACTACCCAAAACAGTGCTCAAAATATGCTTTAAGAATAAAAAATATGAAAACCACTAACATCTAATCTATATGATCTAATATTTACATTTACTCATTTATCATACTCTTTTAATCAAAGCGTCTTACAAATGAGGACAATAGAAGCCATCAAATCCAACAAAAGATATATTAATATATTTATTATAATATATACAATATATGTATTAATATATAAATTATACAATGAATATGTTGAGATGTTACTTTGCTGTGCTGAAAGCTCCACTACTTGCTGCCGAAGCTCGGTGTTCAAGGCTTCCAACTCATTCACTTTATTTTGTAATACTTCTGCCTTGTTTTGCCACATCAGTATTTCTTGCTTTATTGGCTTCATTGCAGTCACTGGAGCTAAAAAACAACAACAAACACAGTGACAGTTGTATTTCATCTATCTATCTATACTGTATATATATATATATAACTGGTTTTTCTAGACACTAAAGAAACTAGTGTATAGTAAGTGTAAGAAAACTGCTATTTACTAAATGATTACTATTTGGCTTACCTTCATCCTCTGCACTTTCTAAGTTGCGTTTTTTGCGGGTGTTGTAATGTGTCATCTAATAATCAAAAAAAGTATAAATAAATAAAAAATCATGTCACATAGCATGCAACCAATCAGTGTAGCAATCGTTTCAGAGAGTGGCCAAATGTTCAAGACCATGGGCCAGGCATGGACTGCCTTAAGAACTTCTCTGACCAACTAGCAGCTAGTTACTTTTTGGTCTTAAATTTGACAAACGTTTTTTATGCAGTTGAGTTAAAGTTATGACCAGTCTTAAAATAATAATAATAATAATAATAATAGGTGACTAACTTTTAATACTATTGTAAGCAGTTTATGCAACAGGCCCCAGTCTTCCTGACGGATGATGATTAAGTGACCAAGTTAAATTTTTCCCCTATGTCATTGTTATACTTCTGATATACATGTATATACTAAAATAAGTAATCTTTTAGGCATTAAAAAGAAAAGAAAACAAATTGTTAGAAAACACTCTGTCTTTAGAATGGTTCCAGATATGCCTCACCCCTCCTTTTCTTCTCTCCTTCTCTCACTCGCTCCCTATACAACGCATTCTCTCTGAATCCCCCTCCTCTATCTGTTTCTCTCTCTCTCTTGTATTATGTTTTAAATATCTCTTACTCATATTCGAGGTACGCATGCTTACATGTATGCATTAGCTTTTCTTGGTTCAAATGCCCAAATAAGGACATGAATGCTAGGACTACAAGGTAAAGGAGTTCGTGATGAACTATGAAGCGAGTTCAGCATCCTTCGCCAAAGTCTATTCCTAATATGTCCATGTTTTTCTGTACATGTGGCCATTTTATATAAACACATGTTCTTGGCCAAAGATCCTATATGTATGTCATACATTCTCATTGGTTAAAGGGTTGAAACTCCCCTCGACATATGCCTATATAATATCTTTGTGTCTATGAATAAATTGAAGTATTGAGAATACATTGAATGTGTGTTTTCTTGCTTCCCGGCCGTATACACTTTAAGGAACTGAGAATTCTTCAAGGCGGCAAAGAGATATCGAGGGACCAATTGTTACTTTTATTAACAAATGGGGGCTCGTCCTTCAGGGAATTTCTTAAAAAGACAGGTAAGAAACTGTTTTCTTTTTCTTCCTGTCTGTAAGAGAAATTGAATTTATTCTCGTTTGCAATTTGATTGTGTCATATTTGGCATCAATCTGTTTTCCTCACATTTTAGATGTGGGAAGAAGAGTGAGAAGCTTTCCGTTTAACCTATCTATTTAAGAAAATAGAGTAGTGGTGAAAGATTATAATTGCTCACTCTTGCCGTGAAGGTTCTCGGTCTCTTAAGTGATTTCATGAATAATACAGAATTGAAAGCTTTCTTTTGGCCAAAATATCAAAAAGTTAATATAAGACCGCGGTCTCTATTTTGTGTTTTGTTTGGCCATTCTATAAATTGTGAAAAGTGCACTAAAATTGACGAGACATCTTTGATCTCCGATGGGGCAGGCGATCTCCAAACC